TTCCCTCATTAGTCCAGTTGTCTGTTAATAGCGTGTTCTTTATTTTCCATATAGTGAGGGGATTTCTTGCTTTCTTTTCATAGTTGAATTCCAGTTTGCTATCTTTATGGTCAGAGAAGATAGTTTATGATATTAATAGTCAGATATTTGTTGATGTTTGTCTAGTGTCCAAGTATGTGATCTGTCCTAGAGGGTGATCTGTGTGCACTCGTGAAAATTGTACATTCTTTTTTGGGGAAGTGCATTGTCCTATAGATGTTTCTTAGGCCTGTGTGGTCTAAATTTTTATTTATGGCGATTGTGTCCTTGTTTATTTTTTGTCTTGATTATCTGTACATTGGTGAGAGTGGGGTGTTGAATTCTCCAACTACATATGTATTTCTTTAGTGTCTTTTCAAATTCAAAAGTATTAATTAAACAGTTAATAGTGTCTCATATGCTTTGGTGCACCTTCATTATATACATATATATTGATTAGTGTTGTATCTTCCTGGTGTACTGTAGTACACCATCAGTGTCTCTTGTCATTTTTTTTTATCTTGAAGTCTATTTTATCTCATAGAAGTATGACTGCCCTGCCTTCCTTTGGTGGACATTTACTTGTAGAATTGTTTTCTAAATCTTTACTGTCAATCTAAGTTTATCTTTTTTTTATTTTTAGATTTTTTTAAAAAATGATTTATTTGGCCCTCCCTGGTGGCGCAGCGGGTTAAAAGCACAGCACTGAAAATCTAAAGCTGCTTCCACATGAGTTCGATTCCCGCCTGCCCTGGAGGAGATCCACATGGCGAGGCAGACCTCTCCTGACCCGCCCGCTGCTCCCCTCAGCAGTGTACTTCCTCGATCTGTCTGTTCTGCTCCCCACTCTGTCTCTGGTGAATCCTCTCACCCTCCACATCTCTGGCCTGTACCCCAGTTCTGTATAAATAAATAAATAAATCTTAAAAAAAAATAAAAAAAAATGATTTGTTTTATTTATGCATACAGAACTGGGTAATAAGCCAGAGGTGCAGGGGTGGTGAGAAAATTCACCAGAGACAGAATGGGGAGAAGAACAGGCAGATTGACGAAGTACACTGCTGAGGGGAGCAGCAGGTGAGACAGAAAGTTTGCTGTGCCATGTGGGTCAGTTCCCTGGTCAGGGATTGAACTTGTGCTTAAGTGGCTGCGGCTAGCTTTGTAATGCTGTGCTTTAACCCGTTGTGCCACCAGGGAGGGCCCAATCTATGTTTAAACTGTTAGTTGTGTTTCTTGGAGACAGCAGAAGATAGGATTCTGTTTCTAATCCAGTCTTTTACTGTGCATCTTTTTTAAAAAATGATTTATTTTTATTTATTGATGCATACAAGAACTGGGGTGTAGGCCAGAGGTGTGATAGGTGACGAGGATTCATCAGAGACAGAGTAGGTAGCAGAAAAGACAAATCTACTGAAATACACTGCTGAGGGGAGTAGCAGGCAAGACGGGAGAGGTCTGCTGCATCATGTGGGTTACCTCCTGGGTCAGGGACGGAACTCATGCTGCAGTGGCTGGCAATAGCTTGATAGTGAGACTTAATTTTTTATTTTTATTTTATTATTTTTTAAAAGATTTATTTATTCATACAGAACTGGGGTACAGGCCAGAGATGCAGAGGCAGTGAGAGGACTCATCAGAGACAGAGCGGGAAACAGAACAGGCAGATCGACGAAGTACACTGCTGAGGGGAGCAGCGGGCCGGTCAGGAGAGGGCTGCCTCGCCATGTTGTCACCTCCAGGGCAGGCAGGGATAGAACTCATGGGGAAAGGGCTTTAGCTTCTTAGTGCTGTGCTTTAACCTGCTGCGCCACCAGGGAGGGCCAATAGTGAAGCTTTAACCCCCATGCCACTAGGGTTCATATTGATGAGTTCAGTCTGTGTTTTTGGTGATTGTTGATACATGGAAGTCTGTACTTGCCATTTTGTTCATTGCTTTATGGTTCAATTCAGTACCCTGATCAGGTCTTCCTTTTTTTTTTCTTTTGTTAGTTTTTATTATAAGGCTTCTTGCAGTAGTTCTTAGAGAGGGGGGTTAATAGAATCAAATTTCTGAGGATTTTATCTGAAAAGATCCTTATTTTTTCTTCATAGTATTTTTGGCTGGCACTTATTGTCTTGGAGCTTTTTGAAAATGTTGCTCTAGTCTCTTCTTGTAGTGTTTCTTTCAGACTAGTCTGATATCAGCCTACTCAGTTTTCTTTTACAGGTTATCTGTTTCTTCCTGCTACTCAGCTTCATTATTTTTTGTCTTAGATTTTTAGTAGCTTTACAACTCTGTCTTGCTGGAGTTTTCATTATGGTAGTTGGTGTCCTTTTAACCTCCTGTATTTCTATTTTGATTTCCTTCTTGAAGTCTGGGAATTCTCTTCAGTTATTTCCTTGAATAGATTTTCTGTTCCTATGTTTCTCTATCCTCTTTCTGGGATTCTTATGATTCATATATTTCTTTTTCTTATGAAATAAGATAAATCTCATAGTGTTTCTTCATTCTTTTTCTTTTGTTTCTCTCTTTTCTTTTTGGTTCTTTTAATATCTGTATCTTTGAGAATACTGATTTTTTTCTTCCTCTTCATCTAATCTGCTTTTGTTTTCCCACAATTTTTTAGCTCCACTTATCTATTAAAATCCTGCAGTTTGTTTTATTTAAAGATTCACTCTCATTCTTTAGTTTATTGATTGTATTATTCATATCATTCTTTTCCCTTTTTTATCTTTAAGTTTTTTAATTACAGTGATTATGAATTTCTTTGTCTGTGTGGCAGAGAAATTCTTCCATGTCAGTGTTGCTGAGTCCTAGATACTGATTTTCTTTTGATGGTGTGTTAGTATTCTGAATTACAGTGGCTAATTGATTTTCCAATGTTAAACCAACCCTGCATTACTGGTATAAACCCTTGTTAGTTATATAAATTATCTTTTTGGTTGAATCTTATATACTAAAATTTTGTTTAAAAACTTTTCCATCCATCTTCATTAGAGATGTTGGTCTGTCACCTACTACTCTTGCACATGGCTGTGAGGATTGCAGTAACCTTGTCTTCACAGTGAAATACTCCTTTCACTTTTTGGGAACAGTTTGTATAAAATTATTATTTTTCATTAGATATTTAAAGTACATGTTGTCATTCTTTGTGGGAAAATTAACCACAATTTGTTTCTTTAGTAGATATAGGTTTATTTTGAATGACCATTTACCTTATACATTTTATATATTTGTACATTTGTCTTATATAAACAATATTCTATACTGTTTTATTTAGTGGCATAATGGCCATAATATTGTTTTTCTATGCTTTTGTAGATGTAAATTCTCTGTGATGTTACCACTCTTATTACCAGTGCTATTGGTAATTACTCACCCCCACCCCCCATACCCCAAAACACACTCTTATGCTTTTCATTCTGGCTAGAGCTTTTTTAATTTTATTAATCTTAAAGAAATAGCCTTTGATTGCATTGACTTTCCCAGTTTTTGTTTTCGCTTCAGGGTTCAACAAACTTTTGGTTTGTTGGGGTAGGACACAAGCATGTACAGTGCATAAGAGAATGGATATGGCTGTGCTTGTCAAGCTACATACAAAAAACAGGCCATGGGATGGGTATAGCCTTAATTAGTGTGCCACACCCTGACCTCCTATTACTTGATTTCTACTGTGACCTTCATTAGTTCCATTCTTTTGCTTACTTTTCATTTAATTTGCTCTTCTAGCTATTTAAGGTGAAAAGACCTTTTCAGTATAAATATTTAGTGCTATGAATTTTTCCATAGTTAATCTTTTTCTCCAAATCCAAACATTTTTTCATTTTCATTCAGTTTAAAATATACTCTATTTAGACCCTCCCTGGTGTCACAGCGGGTTAAAGCACAGCACTAAGAATCTAAAGCCACCTCAGCATGAGTTCGATTCCTGCCAGCCCTGGAGATGATCCACATGGCAAGGCAGATCTCTCCTGACCCGCCCGCTGCTCCCCTCAGCAGTGTACTTCATCGATCGGCCTGTTCTGCTCCCTGCTCTGTGTGTGGTGAATCCCCTCACCGTTCCTGCACCTCTGGCCTGTACCCCAGTTCTGTATGCATAAATAAATACATCTTTTAAAAATATATATATATGTGTGTATATATATACTCTATAGTTTCCCCTCTCATTCCTTATGAAGTATTATTTAGCAATGTATAATTCAGTTTCCAAATATTTGGGGTTTCCAGATTAGTCTGGTCTTGATGTCTAATTTACACTGTAGCCTTTGATTTGAATCCTTTGAGTTTTTGAGAATTGTTTCAAGGCCCAGAATCTAATGAATCTAATGATGGTATTTGTTAAATGTTCCAGGTGCACTTCTGCTATTGTTGGGTATTGGGTTCAATAAAATTGTTCAGGTCCATTAGAATTGTGAAAATACTAGTCCCCTTGTTACTCCAGTACTAGGTAGATGCCCAAAGTGAATGAACAGGTATAAAGTGTACCCTTTGGTGAATTATAACAAATATATACACACTATATAACTAAAACTATACAGAAAATTAGTATTTTAATGACAGGTAGAACTAGTCCCCACTCATTGCTCTTACAGAGTTTTTAAATACTCTTATTTATTTAGCTAGTTGTGCCTGGAACATTAAGAATTGTTCAATTCTGGGACAAGGGGTTGATTTGGGCAATAAACATTTTATTTTTATTGAGAATATGACAATCAGTTAATTTAGAAAATCTAACTTTATGTTGAGTCTTCTATCCAAGAATTGATCATTCTACCACTTATTCCATCCTTTTGTGTCTTTTTGTATTGCTTTAAGGTTTCTCTTATATAAGCTTATATGGAAAACACAGACAAGACAGATAGATAGTATACCAACCTCAGGATAGTGGTTATCTCCAGGAAGAGGAAGGTATGGAATAGAACAGTACAAACAATACTGAAATGTTATAGCAGGATTTACAAAAATTGATAGTCACATGTTTACTTATAAGACTTTCTGTATTTTGAGATATTAAAGTTTAAAACAAACTTAGGGATTAAATCAGTTTTAGTAGGAAAGAATTTATTGCAAATAGTGACAATCTTACAGTATTTTTCTGATAAATCGCCATAATTTATATATATTTTGTATATAAAACTATACTTTTAAAAAAACATATATTACAGTTTCCAGTGTGGTGACATTTCAGTGAAGAGCACATTTGCATAAATTCCATCATCCCTGAGTCCATAGATCCAAATTAAGCACTGTCGTGGCGGAATAAACCCTTAAGAAGGAACTTCGCCTCCCTTATCCTTTATTGCCATGTGGACTGTCACAGCAAGTAAAGCCTTTGAAAATGTTTTACAGTTTACCATCAAAAAAGTGAATGATTTTAGCCCAAAACAATAACATTAAAATGGTAACACTATATAAGCACTGGATAAAACCCTGATTGGGTTTTATAATTTTAATAATTTTGGGTTTTATAATTTTAATAATTTTGTAGTTCTGTTCAAAGCACAACCCTGAAATTTTATTTTCTCACTTTCTTTTTGTTCCTTGCTGAGAGCCCCCTTAAAACCTGCCTTACACATAAATAGCAAAACTAGGGGCTTCACCTAGGGAAGTTACCGGGACTTCTAATAAAAATGAAGTATTTTCCAGCATGTCCATTTTCTCAGTATCTGGTACATGGTAGATATTCATTAAATGCTTGTGGGGTGAATAGTAACCACAACTCTCTATGTCTGAGAGCACTGGTCAGTGAGTCACAGGAAACGATGTCCTCACAGTTGCTTAGTTGGTGGGAATTCCAGGAGTACAAGCAGTCTTCATACAGAGAGGGATGCCACAGAGATCTTACTGACTAGTTTGTTGAGAGCTCTAACTTTCTCTTCTAAGATCTGGGTTTTTTTCTCAGCACTGTATTGTTTCTCTTCAGTGACCTGAAGTGCTTTCATCAGGTGAGCATTTTCCACGTAGAGCTCCTTGAGCAACAAATCAGACTTGGTGTTCTTTTCAAACTAGAAAGAGAAGAGTTACACTTTACTGGGAACACAGAACAGAATGATTCACGACTAGCCTGCCATTTTTCATCTTTATTTGCTGCAAATAATTTTGAGGTTCTTATGGATATGATACAGATACTGGATGTGATGACAATATTTGTTATCCTGGCATGGGATAAAATTGGAGATGTGATAATTATACAGTGGAGAAAATCTGTCAACTTAATGAGGCTAGATTTTACCAAGAAATGAAGGTACCAAAACAAACAAACAAACAAACAACAACAAACAAAAAAAAAACAAGATTCATAGTCCTTGAAGCAAGGAAATTGCCATGTATGTCAGAGAGAGCCCTTGGTTTATCCAGTGTTCTGCAGACCCATCTCATCACCCTGGACACACTCAAGCAAAGTGTCCTTCCTCCCAGCCTGGGGACATGAGCCTGTTGTTCCACACACATCAGCGACAGGAGCTTCAGTGATGGAGATGCAGGTCACTATTCAGGAACTCTTGTTAAGAGAAAAGGCACAAGAAAAGGCCACAAGGGTCTAGGCACTAGAATTTCTTAACACGGATTTCATTCACTGGACAAGCAATACTGCACAGCTGCCCACACCAGGCACTGCTCTTAGATAAAGAGACCAGAAAAAAACATGTTGCCTGTCTGGTGCAAGAAGTGCTAAGAGAAAACCCACCGGGGGAGACAGCTGAGGCATCCTACTTTGATTGGAGTGTACATTTGAGCAGAGATCCAAATAAAGCAGAAGTGAGTCTCAAGGGTGTCAGTGTGAACAATTTCAGGCAGAGGGAGGAGCAAGTGCAAAGGAGCAGGGGGGCCTGTGGCTGAAGGAGCACACAGTGGAGGGAGGTGGCTGAGAATGTCAGAGCTGCTGTATGGCCAGCAGGGAAGCAGGCAGCAAGGGAGGGGAACTCGACCCTTCAGCAACTTGGACTCTGAAAACTTGACCTTTCACTGAGGGACATGGGAAGATTGGAGAGTTCTGAGCAGGAGAGATACCACCTCTGCTCCTTGTGCTAAGAATAGATCAAAGGAGGGAAACAGGATGCAGAAGATGTGGAGAGGGGTGGAGGTGTGAAGGTGACTGGAGTCTGGTTCTGAAGGTGGAGCTGATGGACTAGTGGGAGGCTGGGGTTAGGGGTGAGCAGGGGAGAGTGCAGAGACCCCTCTTTGAAGATACCTTCATAAGAAGCAGAGCACAGGTAGAACCAGGGCTTTGCAAGGCTTATGGTCTGGTCCTTGTAAGAGTGCAAGGATGAGTTTGGGTCAGGTAATACCCACATGTGCAGGAAGTGAGGGGCGGGGAGCCCTAGACTCTCATCTCCCTGTGAAACAAGCAGGCAATCTGGGCTGAGAGGAGAGGGAGGAAG